CCCTCCCAGCTGTGTGCTGGGCTGCGAGGTTAATGCAATTCAGAGCCTTGGGCGAGATGCTGCGATGAGGGTGATAAGAGTCCCCTGAGGGAGTTAAAGGAAGTCTTAGCAGGAGTGGCTCTCCCTGGAGCAAACATCCCTAGGCACACACAGCTGCTGTGGCTGGGCTTCCACACTGGCTGTGGGGAGAAGCCAGGAACCCCATCCCAAACTACCTAAAAAACATTCCCCAACACCCATGTAGGCTTGGGGCACCTGTGTGGAGGCTTGGACACAGGGGTGGCATAGCTGCTGTTACACAGGGCTGCTCGGTCTCCTTCTGCAGGGTGTTTGCTGTAATCCTGTTTTATAAATCCAGCCTTGGTCTTTGGCCTCCCTGAGCTCTGCTCTGCTTCCCAAGTTAAACCCACTGATCTGACTGAGGCAGGAGCAGCCAGGCCATGCTTATTGCCATGGTGGGGCTGGGAGAAGAGATTTACTAAATCATTGGACCAGTTCCCTTTGGAAAGAGTGTGTGAAAATATCAGAGCAGTGAAGGATAGCCCCAAGTGTGATGGGAGAGAAGGGGTGGCAAGGAGGAGCTGAGCATCCCCCTTGGGTGTCTGCTCCATCAGGGACAATCCTCCAGCATGCTGGCCCCTCCAGCAGTGGGGATGCCAACAGCAGGGATGGTCCCTCCACTAGAGAGGAGGTCGTGGTCCCTGCCTGTGCCAGCTCTGCTGCTCCAAGTGTTCCTCACTCCCAGCAGCTTCCCCATCAGACCAGCTGTCCCCAAAAGCTGCTGCTGGGGGTGAGCACACGTGAATGAGCCCTGTTCAGGGTGGGGTGAGTGAGCTTGTGGGGGATCGGGCTGAGTAGCAAGGTCCTGGAGCAAAGCCGGGGAAAAGCAGCAGCCGTGTGTCTGGAGTTGCCATCCTCTGGGCAGACAGATGGTCACCCAAATTGTTGCCCCTTTCCTTTCCTGCCCATCTTCTGCGAGGGAGGGTGTGTGCCCAGCCGTGCCACCTTGGCTGCCAGCTGCCCATGCTGAGTGTCCCCAAGGCTCTCTGATGGCAGGCGAGGTGCTGTGCTGAGCAGGGAGCTCCTGACCCAGCCCCGGCGAGCAGAGAGGGCTCCGTGCGGAATACAAATGAGTCTGGGGCAGGCAGCACCTTCCCCTCACACAGCCCGCTGTCTGTCGGGATCTCCAGACACCAATCCCCTGCAAATCTCCTGCTGGCCTTTCATGACCTTCAGAGTCGTTTCAATTCAGTGTTTTCAGCCTCTAAATCTCCTGTCCTTAGCCCTGGGTGACTTCTGGGGAAAGAACCGTGCTCCTTAAAGTGCCAGGGCAGTCTCTGCACCACAGCCTGCTGGAAATCTGCAGGTATTTCACAGCCATGCTTTATTTTTGGTAATTCCTCTATTTTGTATTGCTGTTTGAACCCCACAATTGACAACCCCAGGTCTGAAATCTGGAGAGGTTTTGGTGACTGCCCTGTACCCTGCCAGGCTCCTGTCTCCTGGGTATCTCACAGTCCCTGCACGCAGCACACCTTGAGCTGGACTGATTGATCTGTAACACTTGAAAAATAATGGTTTAATCATTATTAAGGATTAGAAATAATCCTTGAGCTGTATTGATCACAATAACATTATTCATGATGAACTCATTTGGCATTAATGGGGACGTCCTGCAGCAGTGTGTGGCTCCAGGCAGACCCGTCACCTCCCCTGGGGAGCTGTCACTGGGGTTTGTGGGAGCAGCAACAAACCCTGCCCTAACAAACACCTCCAGGAGCTGCTGTCCCAGAGAGCCCCCTTGGGGGACACATTGTTATTGGCACAGTTTTGGAGGGTCCTGAATCCAGCAATCCCCCATCCTGTTCATGACAGCAGCCCATCTCCAGGCAGGGGCTGGATGGGCTCCATCTAGCTCCAGTCAGGGATGTGACAGGGTGCGACTGCTCCCATGGGAGCCCCACATGGCACCACCCTGGGTCTGTCCCCTGTTGCAGAGGAAGGAATTCTGGCTGCCTGCTTGGCCTCTCTCTCCTCCCAGTCACCATCTTGCTGAAACATCCTTAGTGAGGAAAATGCTCCAGGAGCAACAGCTGAGGGCTCTGGGGACACTCCTCCTGGGTGAATACCCAGTGGCAGCCAGGAGCCAGCACAGCACCCTGCTGTGGCTGTGCCATCCTGCTGCAAGCTCCCCCATTCCTGCTATTTATCAAACAAGAACATCTGGGTTTCCTTTTTTTTTTTTTTTTTAACCAAAATTGTGTCTGGTTTGACTTTGACAAATTGACATTTTCCAGAGGAAAAATATCTCCTGTCGAGGTGTCGTTCCTGGGTGTAGCCGTCCCTTACTGCACCATTTGCAGCTCTCCAGGCACTTTGCACAAGGCGATGAATAGTTAAAGATGTCCATAAATCTTACCCCAGCCCATAATAAACAAACACGCTCTTATCAAGTATAGAAAAATGCATATTTCATCACCACTGCCTTAAACGCAACTCAGAATAAATGCTTGTCTTTAATCAGCCATCTCAATATATAAACAGAGCACAAAAGCTTGGAGGGGATGAGGTACAGAATTGGGCCACGGATTTTCTAGGCAGCTCTTGGGGGCAGGGATATGGCTGTGCAGGTGAGACCATGAAAAACTGCCCTGAAAATTCATATCACTTGGCTTTTCTGTCCAGCCACGTGTTGTTTCTCATTCCCTTCTGCCTGCTACTGGAGCCGTAAGGATTTTGCTTCAATATTCAGCTGATAGCTGATCTTTCCCCTTGGATGCTGGCCACTGAAAGCAAGCACTTTGATTTAGAAATCAAGATTAAGAGAAAGAGAAAAGATTAAACAGGAAAGTTTCAACCAGTGCGTGCTGAGATTATGCAGTGATGGATTCGTGTTTCCCTGCATCTGATAAGAACCAGCTGCATTTTCAGGCAGGGGAGGGCCAGATCTGTGATTTCTTTCACCTTACTTTCGAGTGCCTGTGCTTTGCCATGCTGACAGAAATACAGCATCTGCTGCCACGGCCCTGCTCAAGCCACCCTGCCAGGGCTGGCTCTGCCACTCTCCTGCATGGGCAGTGGGGCACTGTGGCACCTGGGGGCTTCCTTTCCCCCGAGCAGCCAGTTGGAAGGGCTGAGGCATTTTTGCATTCCTGTGTGCTGATGGGAGTGCTGGAGAAGCTGGTGACAGTGGGGACAGCAGCTGTGACCTGTGGCTGTGCCCAGGGCTCGTAGCTCTGCCACTCTCCTGCATGGGCAATGGGGCACTGGGGGCTTCCTTTCCCCTGAGCAGCCAGTTGGAAGGGCTGAGGCATTTTGCATCCCTGTGTGCTGATGGAGTGCTGGAGAAGCTGGTGACAGTGGGGACAGCAGCTGTGACCTGTGGCTGTGCCCAGGGCTCGTATGTGTGTGTGCTCTTATAGCTGGCCACCATTCAGGCCCTGAGGAAATAATTTCCCAGGGATATCACTCGGCTTCACTGCTGCCCCTGTGGGCTCCCACCAGCCTGCCACATCCCTGATGAGCAAAGGAATGCTTTTTCATTTGTGGTTCATGGCATGGAAGTCGTGTGTGTAGCACTGGGAATCTTGTGTTCACTGTGTGAATCTCTGTGGTGCTGCCCAGGCAGTGATTTGGGGTTGTTATTTCACCCAAGATGTTACCACACTGTCAGTGCTCCTTCCTCCTCCCAGCCAATTCAGTGTGTGAAAGCAGCCAGGGCTCAGCTCCCTCCCCATGCTCTGGCTGCCAGCAGCACTTGCATGGAGCAGAGCATGTCTATCCCCCTCTAGGGAAATAGATCTGCAGGGAAATGAGGAGCAGGCGAGGCAGGAGCCTGTGCTGTACATCCTCACTTGGTCTGTCTCCCACTAACTCTCCAGGGAGCCCTCTAGGGACTGTAACAGCCTCAGAGCCTCTCAGCCCGGTACAGATTGGCCCCTGGAGCAGAGACCTGGCAGTGTGTATTCCCTGGGAGCCTTGCACAGCTGATGGCTGGTGGGGAGCAGGCTGTGCTGAGTGTGGCATGACCAGCATAAACCCCGTGCCCCTGTTCGCAGTGAGTGGGGTGTGGGAGGCCCTCAGCTCTGGGCTGGCTCAGGACACTGGGCTGCCTCCCGCTGGGTTTTGGTGCTGATCAGGTTGTGCAGCCCTCGACCAGCCCCAGGCAGCTGCCCACACACCAGGATGCCTGGGGCTGTTCGAGGGATGGAGGGAAACGTGCTGGTTTGCTCTTGGCTTTATTTTCTTAGTGATGCCGAGAGGATCCTGTAGAGAGCCTGGAGCTCTTGCCCTGTTTATCCCCTTTGACTCCACAAAAGGCCAGACTGCAGCTTCTTCCAGGCACTGCAGTACCCATGGGGCTGCCCAGTCTCCAGCCCTGCCCTGCTGCTCCCGCCGTGCTGGTGAGGGGTCTCATGGCTGAGCATGCAGTGAGGGCACCCTGGTGCTGAGCATCGCCCCATCCCACTTCAGCAAATCCTGCTTCCTCTGGTTACCCCACTGTGTCCATGGCTATACAAAAGGGGTTAAATCTAGGTGGGCAGCAAGGTGCACCTCTGGGCTCCAGCACTGGGGCATTTTGAGGGGGTTTTGAGGCATTTTGGAACTTGCTCTGCACAGAGCTGGGGGCTGTCAGGACAGAGGGCTGGGTTCAGCCTTGCCCTGTGCAACAAGAGCCTGCCCTGCTCCGGGGGGATGCCCGCAGCTGCCAAGCTGCAGCGGCTCAGCCCTGCCGAGTTCAAGTGGCAGCAGCTCCCCTGGAGATACGGGCTTGCTCCAGGAAAGGCAGGAGCAAGCAGGAAAAAGTGGCTCCCTGTGCCTGGAACCCCCTTGCAGGGTGCTGCCCACAGTGCCTCCTCCTGCCCCTTGCCGTGCAGCAGAGGGGTGGCAGGGCGCTGCAGGAGCCCGCAGGCAGGGACGCTGGCTGTTGGGGTGGCAGCCATGCTCCTGTGCTGCTGGGAGCTCCTTGGCTCATTTCTCCTCTCCCACTTGTTTTGCAGAGACTTGCCAACGCGGCGGAGAAATTCCAAAAGGCTCACCACTGGCAGGACAACATCCGGGTAAGGCTCCAGGCACGCCAGCCGCCCCCGCCCCCCTGTGCTGTGCCATCCCTCCTCCCATGCTCCTGCGCTGCTGGGTGCTCTTGCTTCCCCTTGGCTCATTTCTCCTCTCCCACTTGTTTTGCAGAGACTTGCCAACGCGGCGGAGAAATTCCAAAAGGCTCACCACTGGCAGGACAACATCCGGGTAAGGCTCCAGGCACGCCAGCCGCCCCTGCCCTGCTGTGCTGTGCCATCCCTCCTTGCCCTGGTTCGTGTCCCCGTCGTGAGGGGCCGCTGGCTGTGCCGTGCCCGCCCCAGCCCCTCCGCCTGCCGCGCTAATGAGAGCAAATGAAGAGACTGGAGCTCGTTGGCGGCCTCGCCTCAGCCCGCCGTGAGGGGAAGGCCGGAGGGGAAGGCCGAGCTGACAGCTCAGCGCTGAGGGCGGCGGGCTGAGGAGACTCCGGCTCTCCCCAGCTCCGGCAGCCCCTGGGTTTGGGGCTGGGGGCCTGGCACGGGGTGACAGCAGCGGTGGCTCTTCGGTGGCACATGCCAGCAGTTGCGGCGGGGGCTGTTCCTGGGGAAGGAGCAATCTGGGCTGGGAGAGGGAAGACGCGGGTTTAATGATTGCATTTGACTTTGTAATTCTGGCGGTGATAGCACTCAGCAGGAACCTGAAGGATTCTGTCTGGAAATGCTCTCAAATTATAACCATAATACAAAAGGAAGGAAAGATTGTTTTTCTCCCAGTGCAAATGGAATCTGCAGTAAAAAATACTCCTGAGCCACCCAGCCCCTTCCTCTTGGCTAGGGCTGCATCCTGCCCAGCCCTGAGGATCCTCCTGCATCCTCCGAGGGGACAGCCTGGGGGTAGCCCCACTGCCAGGCATGCTGCTGTGTTTTGGGGGGGATTTCACAGTCTGAGCTGCTGCTGCTCACACAGACCTTCCTGCCATGGGTGATGGCCACCAGGGCTTGCTGGGAGAGGAAGAGGTGGAAGGAGCAAAAGAGAAGGCGAGGGATTGACCTGCTTGGCTTTCATTTGCCATGTGGCCAGCGTGGGGTGGAGGCTGGTGGCTGATTCTGTGTCCCACGGGCACCCAAGGAGCAGGATGAGCTCACAGGGGCCTTTCTGTCTCCATGAGAGCACTGGTGAACCGCTGTCAGCTCTTCCCAAAAGGCCAGAGGTGAGGAGGATAATGAGATTTGGTGCAGGCACCTGCTGATGCCAATGCTGGTGCCACACCAGGACCTTGGCTCGGGGCTCCCAAGGAAAGCTCAGAGAAGTGCAGGGCAAGCTTCGGGCATCTTGACCCAGTCTCACATGTCCTCCGGGGTCAGGAAACACATCCCTGAGCAGCACCTGAAGCTTGACTGTGGGTACCCCAGGAACATTGTAGTTTCCCTGTGCACCCCATGCTGGGCTGGCACCCTGGGTTGGATGCCTTGTGACCAGGGCATGTGCAGGGTGGGCACAAGGTCACTGCATTTTGTAAGAGTGTTTGGGGCTTTTGCTCATCATCTGGGGCACAGGGATGGGCTCCTGCTGCTGGGGTTCTTTGCAGCCCCAGAGAGCTCCTTCTCCAACCAGACCCAGCTGCCTTCCACTGCCAGGGGAATAAGAGCAGGACACAAAACATGTTGGGAAAGGCTGTAGCACTGCAAAGCTCTTGGCTCATTTTGCCATTCACGGCACAAACCTTTCAGAAATCCACTTTCATAGAAAAAAAAATATTTTTAATAGCACTGTTTGCAACCACTTAATCAAGGTAATTAGGAGCGAGTCACCCAGAAACAATGTGCAGTGATGCGTCACCGCAGAGCTCGGCGCAGCTTTATCAGGACAGCCCAGGCCTGGCTGGGACACTTGATGGACTGGTCCAGCTCTGTGCACAGCCCCCAGGGTGCTGGGCATCAGCCCTGCCTGAGGAGTGCTGTCTGCAGCAGCCCCAGCTCCTGAGCAGAGCGGAGGGGTGCAGGCGCTTTGTACATCTCATTCCCAGGGCTGAGCCTCCTCTTCCTGCCCTTCATCCCTGAGATGGCCGGGCAGGTCAGAGCCGTGTGCCCCTGGCTCTGCAGCTGCCCCGGCTGTGCCGGTGCTGGCACGGGCAGCAGGCAGGGAAGGGGCAGCGCAGCATCCCAGCTCCTCCCTTGCTCCCTCCCCACCGAGCAGCTCGTTCCTGCTGGCTGCAGCTCTCCCCTCCTCTCCCAGCGTGTCGCGTCCTCACCCCGCGCCGGAGTCGATGACAGATTGCGGCGAGCGCGGTTATTTTTGTGTTTCCATCCAAAGGCGCCGGCAGATGCTGAGTGTTTGCGCTGCATTAGTGCTAATGGCAGCCCCATTAAACCTCACTGCAGATGGGTTGCTATGGAAGTCCAGGGGAAAATGAAGCAGGAGCAAGAGCCTGAGCGGCTGGGAGCTGCTGCCAGCAATCACTCACGATCCGTCTCTACGGGGAAAGTTCCTTTCTCCTTGCTGTTTTCTGGTGTTTCCAGCTACATGCCAGCCATGCTGGCCTTTCTGGAGCTGAGTTCAGCCTCCCACCCCAGGAGGCTTTGCAAAGTGCCTCCCTGTTCCCTAAACAATCCCTTCATCCTGTCCTGCTTCATCCCTGCTCCTTGTGCTCTTCCACACTCATGTCTACCAGGTGTGCTGAGCTGGGGGTGTGTCCCCAGATAAATTCTGGATAGGGGGCCATTTTCCTTGGTCAAAAGTAGCCTTGGCCCCAAGGTCACCCATATTCTGAGCACCCTCATGGGTTCCCTCAAGCTTGTTTTACTGCAGGGCTGGGTGGCAGCTCAGAGTGGCATGGTGGGCAGGCTGTGGGGAGACATCGTGCCCTTCCCTGCCTGCGAGGGTCTCTCAGGGATGCACACTCATCCACTGGAGAAGGCTGGTAGAGCTCTGGAATGGTGAGAGCTGGGTCCTGTTGCCAGAGCGGGCTCCCACCATGGGACATGGCAACCACCTGGCACTGGCATAGTAGGAAACCACAGAAAGTTCTCCATTTGCAGTGGCCTGGCCTATCAGTTTTCCCAGTAAGAATCTTCTAGCCTATAGGTTTCCATTCAGAGATCCACTGGGATAGTCTGGCTCCACTCCATGCAGAGCCATCTCCCACCATGGGACATGGCAACCACCAGGCACTGGCATAGTAGGAAATTCTCCATTTGCAGTGGCCTGGCCTACCAGTTTTCCCAGTGAGAATCTTCTGGCCTACAGGCTTCCATTCAGAGATCCACTGGGATAGTCTGGCTCCACTCCATGCAGAGCCATGAGGGTTTGTCCTTCAAGGCACATCAGGGCTGGCCCCCTGCTCTGGATGTCCCCAGTCCTATCCCCTGGCTGTGGTAATGATTCTGAGCCTGCCCTGTGCTGACCATCCCGGAGCAAACAGAGGTGCCAGGACTCCATGCCACCCTGCAATGCAGCTATCAGATTTCCATCCTCTGCTTGCTGCCCTGCTTGGGTAAGGGACCTGCAGAAGCACCTATAAAAATGCTGAAAGGTCATGTTGCATTTTTTGCTGCCATCCTTTGTATCCATCCTCGCTGGCAAGCTGCCATGTGGCCTGTCAGACATCCCAGCCAGCTTCATGTTCTCCCAGCTCTTTTCCATTTGTGTGCTCTGCCTTCCTCCCAAGTTTTCCTTGGGTTCTTTCCCAGACCTTCAGCCCCATCCCAGCAGCATCAGCAGGGCCTCAGGTGTCCCACACTCACACAGTGTGTGGGAGTGGGGACCGTGCTGACCTGGGGGATGCTGTCAAAGGAGCAGATCTGCACTGCCAGCCACAGAATGCATCCCAGGCCAACATCACCATCATCATCACCATCATCATCATCGCCGTGTGTAGGTCTACCGGGGCTGCCAGAGCTATTTGTGCCTTTAGGGGACACTCCAGTGCTGCAGAGATCCATCCCCATGTTTATATGTGCTTGGCAGGATTACATAAATTGCCTTTAAAAGTTGACTTCTTTATAAGCCATTTTCTGCTTCATAAAATGTTTATTACTGTTGTTTTTCTCCCAGTCTCCTTCCTCACTGCATTTTCCATCACTATACTGGGAAGCTCCCCTCTTCCTCTGCCTGCTGCCCCTCTGCCTCCCTCCTCTCCCACCTTTTGATGTTGGAAAAGACCCTTTGAAGGGTCAGAGCCCAGCAAGCCCTTTTTTCCTTGGAAAAGAAAAATAGCCATACATTGAGGTGTGGATGTAGGAGCTGATGGGGACAGGATTTAACCACTGGGCTGTTTTGGGGACTGGTGACATTTGTGGAGGTGGCAGGGGGATCACAAGTGCTGGACAGCCCCATGCTGCTGCCTCCATCTGTAACCCCTGCCTGCAAGCACATGAGGAATAACAAAGCCCAGATAATTTCAAGCTCCATTAGAAACAAAACTCCAGGGAAAAGGAGATCGTTGTTTGCCAAATGGGGATGGACAGGAGCAATAACAAGGGACTGTGCTCCTGACTGCCCAGGAAAGGTGCAGGATAAAGCAGGGATACATGGCAGCATGGCTGGGTACCCAGCCACGGCCACACAGCCCTGGGTGCTGCATCTCTCCAGGTGCAGGATCCTGCCCCATCCTGCTGCTCCACCCAGCACTGCTGTGCCATGCCGTGCCGTGCCATGCCATGCCATGCCATGCCATGCCATGCCATGCCATGCCATGCCATGACTGCTCCACCCAGCACTGCTGTGCCGTGCCATGCCATGCCACGCCACGCCACATGTGGGCTCCTGCTCCCATGGGCTGGGCACGGCCATGCAGCGTGTGGGCTCCTGCTCCCATGGGCTGGGCACGGCCATGCAGGCAGGGCTTTGTGTTCAAAGCAGCACCAGAAGGGCGAACGCCAGCTCCTTATCCTCCTTTCATTTTTCTCCTCCTTTAATTACAGATCCTACTTATCGGCTCAGAACAGAAAGATTGTCACCGTAACCTTGCACTTGCCCTTGTAGAAGGTTTACCTAAAAAGTTAGAAAATAAAATCAAATACTCTAATTTGCAGTCGTCTTGCCA